TCGCCATCCCCAGTCTTGCCAATCTACACAACTCAACGTTCGCTCAAGGATTCAGCAATAACGAACGTCAAGCGGCCGCCAGGGCTTTACTGAGACACGACGTTCACATTGACGGGACACACTATCAGGCTAGACTGCCTGGTGGCCTTCACCCGTCGTACTTTGCCTTTAGCAGCACTGCTAAACGAACCAGTGAAAAATCCCTTACCCACGAGGAGCTTCTGGAGGCATCACTGCAAGATGTCTTCGACGCCGTGAGTCATTCAAGTCAGTGTCCGCATCTTATTTATGTCTCACTTGTTTCCCAGCTGAGTATGCAAGATCGCCTTGATGGCGGAATTTCTGTCCTCATTCGATGCGCTGGGTCTGAAGCAGTCTCTTCACCCGAAAACCTCCCTGTCGACCTCTACATTACGCCCCGCGAACTACAAGAAACTCCCGAGCGAATTGGCGGAGACCTTGCCGTCTGGGTGCAGGTATTTGCCCAGGAGTTTGCAATGCCACACCTCGAGCGGTTCAATCAACGTTGTGTCATCGAAAACATCCAACCGCCACCATGCTGTAAGTAGTAGATCATTTTCGGCTTCACTGTTCACACAACTGACTCAAATTCAACAGTTTCTGCGGCTCATATCAATGTCAAGGGCCCACAGTATCTACCTGGCCCAGTGGTTGCTACTGGAGCGCATATACAATGTTCTGCTCAACCGGCCCATACCTTCACGCAAGAATTGAAAGCAACTGCGGTGCACGATGCTCCTTCTGCAGCTATCCGCGGGGGTGCAGAAATGAGCGAAGGTATTGGCGAGAACATTTCGCCACAGCTGACCACCCAACACACACGAGTTCGCCGACGCAGGCACGCGGAAATTTTCACACCCGGCAAGGTAACTAATGATGGCCCGATTTTTTCGGTACCAAGACTGGAGCAGGATACTGCATGTGGACCGCCACTCATTAGTATTGGACCGAATACTGACGCCGCTCTGGATTGGATTAAGTTGGGGGATGAAGTTTTACCTAAGCTCCGTGTTCTAGTTCAAACTGTGCGTAGCAGCCGATGGGAGGCAGTGTTCAGGTCTCCAAAATGGGATCTCTCGTACGAACATGCTTCCATTCTGTCTAGGGCGCTCCTGGCTGACCTTCAGGGCATGCCACGTAGCCCTGATGTTGTAAAGGTCAGTGATATTATTTTGGCTGCTGCTGTCATACTAACTCAATTGAATGTCCATAGCAGCCGTCATCTGTCCTCATGTCCATTTTGAAGCTTATTGGTATATTGATTTTCTTATGCGGCCTATACTTTTTCGGCATCTTATTATTTTGGCTGTAGATCACTTTCCCCTTTTGAGTCTTAGTTATAAGCCATGTGTCCTGTTTTTTTGCCGTGGGTTAGAAAAAATAAATGCATTGGTGTGTATAAAATATTCGTATTCAACTACAAAGGCCCTTTGCTGATTTTTGCCATCCTTCTGTGGGTGATGGTCTCCCAGTCCTTCTATGCTGCGAAGCGTGCGAAGCGCATTCAAGCACCACCTCGTAGTCGTCCTAAGGTCACCCTCAGCAAAGAAGCTCGCGCGGCACTCAAGTTTCAGCGAACCGAGAAGTCGCGTCAATTCAAGGATGCGCTTGATCTTGCATGGGGCCAAATTGACGATGTTACAACAACCATTGCTGCTACCCATCGCAAGAGCTTCCGTCGTGTACAGCACAATTTATACATGGGTCGGGGATCACTCCGTTCGAAGCATTCAAAGCCCAGCGTTTGGAATGCATTTTGCTGGAAGAAATCTCAGGAAGCGAAGAAAGAGAACTGTAAGTCTGTTGATTTGTATCATATGCATTTTCATGACTCAATGTTGAATTAACAGGCAATGGCCACGGAAAGGAAGCACTCCAGTCACTGGTCCGCGACCACAAGGATGAATACCACGCTCTCACACAGGAAGAACAACAAGAGTTGCTCCAGGAATTCGCCGACCAGAAGGAGACCAAGGTCTCTGGGTTACGTGTCTCAACGAAGTCGAAGATCAACGACATCACTCAAACCCTGAAGGCGGTAGAAAACGAGGTACGCACCCTCGAATTGCAATACAATGTTACTAAGTGTCTCGTTACTAGCTCAATAGTTTAAATTCTCGCACTGGCGCCGAGGTCATGTTGTATATGATGCGCGGTACTACTGATCTACCTCTCCGTGCAATCACCTTCACAACGCCGGGTGTCAATCACTTTATGGACTCTGTCATCGGCATCGATACTCAGGACTTCCTCAGCAAGATGGAAGGTTTCGCTATCCAAGGGATACAAGGTACAGTTTTTCCGTTGTTATTACATTCTCAAGTTAATTTCTATTTGTACTAGGTGCCGCAAGCAACCATCAAAAAGAGGTCTCTAAGGTTCGCGGAGACATTCGAGCAATCATCACCCAGAAATTGAGTAAGTCTTTCCCATCTTTTGACAGCACAGAATTCATTTTATTCATAGGGAAGGTGACCGGAGAAAGCAATGCCAGGATGCAGTGGGCAGACTACTTTCGTAACGTGGTCAACCGCTATCAGGTCGCCATCAAAGGATGGCCGGAGCATATCCCATTCACAAACCTCAGCAGTGTGACCAACGCGCTTCCGGACCTCCATACTCTTTTAGACTGTTGGAAGTCGGGCGATACGAGGTGGGAAGTGTTGAATGACGAGGAACTCGAGCAACTCCGTCGCGAGCGCAATGAAAAAATTGACAGTGGTGACATTATCGAGTCCCGCCGCAGGACACGGTCCGACAAGGGTAAGAAGCGAGTACGACATGCGATAGCTGACCCCAGATGTAGCAAGAAGCACAAGAGTGCGGAGACCATTGAGTCCAGTGACGACGAAGATACCCAGAGTCATGGACGGACACCAGACGGTTCGGAGGATGTCAACACCACTCCGAACGCCAACTCGAACTCTAATACGACCGGGTGTACTGCTGGACGGACACCAGACGGTTCGGAGGATGTCAGCACCACTCCGAACGCCAACTCGAACTCTAATACAACTGGGTGTACTGCTGGACAGACACCAGATGGTTCAAAGGATGTCAGCACCACTCCGAACGCCAACTCGAACTCTAATACGACTAGGTGTACAGCTGGACAGACACCAGATGGTTCAGAGGATGTCAACACCACTCCAAACGCCAACTCGAACTCTAACATGAGTGGGTGTACTGCCGAGCACCCAGTAATGTCAATTCCCCCAGACTCAATCATCCTTTCCCCTTCGAGCAGCACCCCAGTACCATAACAATATCCCAGACTCAGCCATCCTGTCCCCTTTGAGCAATGTCCCTAGTTTCATTATTCCTGCGCTATAACTCATTTCTTGATGGAATCGCTCGTGATAGACTTAGTTTGTTTTTATAAAAGTGCAATGACATCTTAGTTTGATCTACAATATCACAGTGCAAGTAGAATATGACATAACCCAGTGCAATGAGGTGCGACAAACTACAAAGGGACAAAGGAGAACAACAAAGCTACAAAGGAGGGCGACGACGAAAGTACGAGGGAGGCGGGAAACGGCAGGTACGAAGGAGGGCAACGACAAAGGCACAAAGGAGGGCGACAACGAAAGCACGAGGGAGGCGGGAAACAGCAGATACGAAGGAGGGCAACGACGAAGGCACAAAGGAGGGCGACGACGAAAGCACGAGGGAGTTGGGAAATGGCAGGTACGAAGGACGACAACGATGAAGGCACAAAGGAGGGCAACAACGAAAGCACGAGGGAGTTGGGAAACGGCAGGTACGAAGGACGACGACGACGAAGGTACGAAGGAGGTTGAGAAGGCACGAGGGAGGTGGGAAACGGCAGGAACGAAGGAGGTTGACGACGACGACAAAGGCGGAACAATGGGGGCACGATGGAGGCAGGGAACGGCAGGGACGATGAGCACAGTGATGAGGAGAGCTAGGAAGCGTGAGAAGGGCCCCTTGGTTCGAATTAGGAAGCGTAGTAGGCGTTGCCGAGCGTGCCGAATTAAAATAGGAATATGACGCAATTAAGGCGGGGCGGGATGCTTACCGAATATAGCCTATGCGCGCGTGCGCGCCCACCATAGTGAGGTGTACATAGTTTTTTTGAAGGTATTTTGAGGAGCTGGGGCACTATTTAACGCTGGTGTAGGGATTTGATGAAACCAAGCCTAATTATAGTTGGCGAGACACGTAACTACCAAGTATAATAAGGCTTATTAATAGGGCAACCCAGGTGGTTATTGTTTCTTCTAGGTCACACGATGTACTCTTGTCCTGCGGAAATTCCTATTTGTAATCCCCAAAGACCATCATAACAGCGATGCGAATGTGGCACGAACCGTAGAATATACCTTCCGACCCGGGTCGATGACACATGAAGTTCCGTCATAGCACAACTCTTACAGTGCATGGCTGGCCACTAAGTTAAGTTGTTCCCGGACCAATTCTACTTCGACGGTATGTACAGTGGTTCTGCAATGGGTAACATGTTTTTGACTGATAATATCACAGAAAGAAACTGTGGGATCGCAGATCATGCTATACTAATTAAGAGTAGTTCAATGGGCAGTGCTCCGACATCTACTTCTATCCCTGAGCTCACGTCCGTGTTCCCAGGTCATCTGTCACAACTGCAACTAGGTCTGCGACTGAAGTCATGCTGGAGAATTGCTTCTGCTGCTCTTGAGATGGGAGAGTGTACTCGCTCACTCTGTTTAGATCTGACATTGAGATGCAGCTGATATGCTGTAGCTTGCAGTTTGTCACTAGACCCACCCTTCCGCTTATCAGCCGCGACTGAATCCACTGCAGTTTTCGATGTACCTCGCGTATTTTGCTTTAATGCGCCCATTGTACAGGACTTAGTGACACAAATTAGGATTGAAGCTTACGTTCTACCTTCAATGTACATATGAAGACCGCTCAGCAGGATTCTGGATGCGATCATACGCGGTTCGGCACCCACCAAAGCAAAGACGAGGCTGTTAAGTGAATCTGTCTAGTCGTTCCTTGACTGTCGAGGACGTTCGACTGAGTTGCGCCTCTATCTCGAGGCTGTTCGACAATGAGTGCTTAGTTGAGGTTGCGTTGAGGTGCAGAAGGATTTGAAGACTGAGTCAGAAGCACCAGGTCGACTCACACTCGCACAAAAGACGATGTCGCAGTATTTTCATGGTGACTTGAGTAAGAGAAACACGAAAGTGAATTATATTGAAAGTATGAGGATTACACTGCAAGAGTATGAAGGTAATCTGTACAAAGGCTTCGACTTGAAGTTGATGTACACTAGAATAGAGAATCCATGATCAATGACCGGTAACAGACGACAGCAATACGACTACACACCAATGAGAACAATTCTTTTCCCAAGCATTTTCTTCTTGGAACATGTAGCATGCTCAAGTCCCTATGTCGCTTTGTTAAGTTCATGAAAACTCCATCCTCTAAGTCCTTGAACGTATTCTCGTACAAAGACGTGTTTCGCGACAGCGTCCTCGACCTCCCACAGCATGCCAACGACGCCCTCAAACCGTGAACATTGCAGTCCGGTTGCATGCTGGATGACATCGTTGGGCGTCTGATCATCGCCGACAGTGATATTTCATGCTGACAGAAACACAGCATACGAGCTGCATCAGAGTTCATATCTCATTGTGAATGAAAATGTGAAGTTGAGTACGGTCCTGCTTACCATGGCAAGCAAGGTGCACCCAGTTATTCTGTTGCAAAGCCTCGAGTGCACCTGCTCGTGTAGCTGCATTACAAGGAAATAGTGGTACAGTTGGCCGTCGCAGTAACGAGCTTCTGGACGAGCTCGAGTTCGCTGCTGACAGTCAAGAGTATCTTGCCTCCAATGCCTCCTCAAATCGATATTGATACATACATGACTGCGGGTATGTGCGCAGAAGAAGGTTGAATATTATTTGCGTCAATGGAGCGTGAGGACCACAAAATAGATATGATGATATAGAGCGACTCACCTAAGCTCTTCCAGTCTGATATACCGGTCCTCTAAGTTACCAGGCATGATGATGCAGGTGATGCAGTAACATGACAAGGAACGAAGATGGGCCGCCTGAGTGGTGAGTGGGATTATCAGCGAGTGGCGGTCCAGCAGCTGCGCGCGTCCTTCAAATGTGTAGTATTGGAGAAGGGCGGATGATGGAGATATGGCGGCAGATGTGCGTGACACTTATAGAATGGGAGTAACCACATTAATCAGGGCAACGATACCTGGTCGCTGAAGGCGATGACAAGGTTCGGGGTGGGAAGATGGATGTACTCGCCTGTGGCATTCTCGGTGCATTTCGGAAGAGCCAAATTTATACAATAGGAAAGATGTATGTTACCAAACTCTGATACAGAATCATTAACAGTGCAGGCCAAGAGGCGTGCAATGGAGAAACCCGAAACACCAACACTTTGCTTACCATAAGCAAAAACCTTCATCTCAGCCACTTTGGCGTTAGAGCATGTTGTCGTCTGAACTTCTCGACAGCACTTCAAATCTTCGCCAAATCTTTTGGTAACTTGGTGGAGGTGGTGGTTACAAGTACCTTAGAGTAATTCTAGATACCTGTAACAATAAACTGCATATGCTCAGCGCTGTAGCTGATTTCCCCTGCAAAGTGAATATTTTGGATTGTTTTGGCTGCACGTGAGTCGTTATTTCACGTGATGATCAATTAATGAGAATTACATGCATCACTCACTGCGGAAACGAGAAATTGTCCGTATCCAGATAGAGGATAGATAGCGGTGTTAACTGTACCTAAACTAGATATGTGCAATGTCATCTGCCTGGGTTCAAAAAAAGTGCGGAATGTCACGATTTTCGAACACTAGCTGTACTCTAGTTAGATGTAATGCTTGGTGTCTAGTTTGAGGACCGTCAAGCAAACCATACTCGAGGTGAAGTATGGATAGGACTTAAATGTATATGTCCTCAGGTATGGATAGAACATAGATAGAGTCTGGATTGCATATAGATAGAATACAGACATAGCTTAAGGAAATACATGCGGATCCTCCTACGCAGCTCAGCGCCCCGGACCTCCATGAACCAGATAACAAAAAGGTGCTTCTGGATGAACCCCCCGTTGTCCACATCCTCTCGTTATGTACCAGCACCATCTAGGCATGCAGCGCCATCCAGATGGAGCTGACGCTCATGTAGACCAACCTGTCAATTCAGCACAAAACACAAATCCACACCCTGCACCATTACCCCCGATGTTTCCAAACGACCCATTCATGGACACGACGCCTGATCATTGCCATGGTTTCCGTCCATCAGTGTTGGGTTTGTACAGCGGGGAGGGCGGGGGATATGACTTTGGAGGACCGCAGCCTCAGAGTGGATCTGGATTGAATCAATTGCGTCCTCACCAGTTTGACCAACCCACTTCCAATGGGTACAACCCAGTGAATGCCACTCCGTACGGCGATCCTGGATCTCGTGGGCATTCGGTACCCCCTGGTACACCCATGATGGGTGCCGGCGAGCATCTGGGTATGCGAGGATATTCAGTGCCTCCAACGCCCCAATTTCATGGCACTATGCAGCGAAACGACTCGTCAATGAACCATAACAACTTCCAGCAGCAGCTACTCACCGAGATCCAGAAAATGAATACTCGTCTTGCCGCTGTTGAATCTGCTAGCCAGATTATCCTCACAAACCAGCAAACAGCCAACGAACGTGCAGAGAAACATGAAAATGTGCTCAAGGAGTTGCTGACAAGTGTTGATGCGATGATGGCATTGGGTGCATCTAAGAGCACCGCTGGCAAGAAGAATATCTCTAATAAACATCCGGATTTAAAAGTAATTGACTACTCACCGTCGAACATACTGCATGCTGACTATATCAGCCTATCATACAGCCAATATTCTTTGAGCTCTGTGGCATAGACCACAAGGTCCGTGGAGAACGAACAGAGCTACTAGCGCAGATCCCACCTCTTGAGAACGGCGAAGCCTATGAGGTGTTGAATGGAGTGAAGGAGTGGAGGCCACGATGGGCCGCAAAGATTGATGATAAAGTGAACACTTTATATATAGCAGAGGTTATTGATCGTGTTTGGGATAATGAAACGGTACGGAACATACTTTTCATTAATATTTATCCCGCTACTAACCACTCTGCTAGTGCTTGCGAGAGGACCCGAAGAAGACACCAGAGATGAAGGATGACGACTATAAACGCAGTGTCATCACCACCATGACAAAATCCTACTGGCGAAACTTGAGTCAGCAAATTTCTATCCTCGTATCTGCTGAGAAGGTCGAGAAGCTCACCAACAAGCAAACAAATTCACGTTGTCGAGGGAGGCATCAGACCGTAAGTAATGTATACTAAGCAAACATAAATGACCACCTACAAATAACATGCACAATAGACAGCAAATCATCATCGTGGTGCCATTCCAGACTTTGAAAAATCCTATGAGTGCAAAGGTTCAGTTGCACTAATTGATACAGATTATGGGTCGGATTACGTATCATATGAAGAGGGTGAGCTGAGCGCTGATTCAGCAGAGCGGCGTAAAGACCAAAATCAAGGCAAAGGAAGTCGAAAGGTTGTAGGGTTGGAATGGCGTTCATTAAATGTAAGACATTAAACTTTATCAGGACCCAACTTACCTTTATCGCCAATAGTACATAGCATTTCTCCGGGTCCTAGACGAGATCCACAGGCATCGCAAATCCGGTGGAGATAATAGAGGGGTGGAAACTAATGCACAGGAGGGAACTGCTGGACCGTCATCAAAGCGCCGCAAAGTAACTAAACCAAAGGACTTACACAAGACAACCTTTGATACCCATCCCTCCAAGATGAGCTCTCGTCTCCCTAAGTCAGGCAAGTCGACAGTCCTGTTCAACACAATGGTGAATGCGGTATGGTTAGAGGGGCACAAGGAGGTCAAGGTTGTGGAAGGCATAGAGTGGCTCAAGGACTTCAGGAAGTCTATTCGCGAGGAAGACTTGGCGGCAGAGGACAAGAAGTATCTTGATGAGCTGGAGGAGTGGAACACTGATGAAGAGGATGAGGGGATTTAGCTTTGAATGCACTCACTCAATTTTGACACTATGATTACATGCGCTGTACATATCTTGCAACGAAATTCACTGCATTGCGAAAGTCAGATGTCACAAATCATTCAGCAAACGAATGGAAACTTTCCTTAGCCAAGTCAATAGTTGCCCATACCTTTACCCCATCTGCGCCAATTGAGACTGTCGCGCGAGCGAGGTGTCCATGTATGCAATCAAGATCAATCAGACTAGGGAGTTGCGTGTCCGACCCTTGATATTCTTCTAGTTCCCAAAGACGGACACCCACGGCAGCGCTGCAAATTAATCAGGACATGAAACACGTAACAAAACGAGGCAAATAGTTACAAGTCTTCCCAACCCGTGCTTGACCCATTCCATGGCTTAAACCATCGCATGCGGTGTAGAAACAACAATACTGAGAGGAACAAATGATGCTCCTGACAGTATCTATAAAAGTTGTAAGGTCGCGCGCTGCCTAGTCTGTGTTACTTGAGAAGCAAGTGCGTTCGACCCTATAGGGGAAGTGAGTGCAGCAAGGATCTAGAAGTGTGCGCTTAAGCGAAGCGCGAGAAAGCGCAGATGCGCGCAAGGCGTGGGAACATGCGCGCGTAAGCGGATACAATAGAGAGGTAGACTTAAGTGCTAATATGTTACAAGATAAGAGAAGAGTGATGTGAAGTGTAAACAAATAGATTTCTACTGCGAGTTTCTAGGTAGTAAGTGTAGCGGAAAGTAACTAAAGTAAGGTGAAAAGTAAGGTAAAAGTGTAGTATGTACTGCTGGCGCTTATATAGCGCGCCTAAGCGCGGTCATGCGGAGCCGAAGCGCTACCGAGTAGGTATGTAAAGATATATATGAGTGAGAATCCATGATAAAAATAAAGGTGGAACTATGCTAATAAAGGAAATGGAAATATACGTACTAGGGAGCTTGGTGGACAGTGGATGGCTGGCGCCATAGGGTGCGCAAGCGTGGGAACGCGCGCGCGCGTATACATCGCAAAGCGCGGGAATGGTGCGCGTTGCGCGGGAAAGCTGCGCCTCATATAGAGATAGCTGCGGGTAGCGCACAGAGTGACGCTACAAGTTCATGCTATGTACTTCCTAGTGTAAAGCGCCATATCAGACCATGAGACGCACAAGTCTCTACAGCGGGCAAATCACATTGATTCACCAGCGAAGTGAATATCTTGGTCAAGCTGAAACACCTCAAGTACTTCCCCATAAGCTTCCTGACTCCCTTCACCATGCAAGTCGGGCATGACGGTGTAGAGACTCGCGCGTCTCATGGTCTGATATGGCGCTTTACACTAGGAAGTACATAGCATGAACTTGTAGCGTCACTCTGTGCGCTACCCGCAGCTATCTCTATATGAGGCGCAGCTTTCCCGCGCAACGCGCACCATTCCCGCGCTTTGCGATGTATACGCGCGCGCGCGTTCCCACGCTTGCGCACCCTATGGCGCCAGCCATCCACTGTCCACCAAGCTCCCTAGTACGTATATTTCCATTTCCTTTATTAGCATAGTTCCACCTTTATTTTTATCATGGATTCTCACTCATATATATCTTTACATACCTACTCGGTAGCGCTTCGGCTCCGCATGACCGCGCTTAGGCGCGCTATATAAGCGCCAGCAGTACATACTACACTTTTACCTTACTTTTCACCTTACTTTAGTTACTTTCCGCTACACTTACTACCTAGAAACTCGCAGTAGAAATCTATTTGTTTACACTTCACATCACTCTTCTCTTATCTTGTAACATATTAGCACTTAAGTCTACCTCTCTATTGTATCCGCTTACGCGCGCATGTTCCCACGCCTTGCGCGCATCTGCGCTTTCTCGCGCTTCGCTTAAGCGCACACTTCTAGATCCTTGCTGCACTCACTTCCCCTATAGGGTCGAACGCACTTGCTTCTCAAGTAACACAGACTAGGCAGCGCGCGACCTTACAACTTTTATAGATACTGTCAGGAGCATCATTTGTTCCTCTCAGTATTGTTGTTTCTACAACGGCATGCACGAGAGATGAAGAGTTATAACCAACCGTACGTGACGTGTAATACCGCTTGCCTTTGATGACAACATAGTCAAAGAAAGTTGCCTCACGCCTGAGAGGGATACTGTGAGAGATGACAGGCCGGTCTGATCAGCAGTGTACGGGGGTGAGAGGCGAGCGGAAACAAATCATCTTGGCTAGTAAGCGGCATGTCTCCAGGGTCATTGAAGTTTTCTGACGCCTTGGGCTGAGTGCATAAACCTCCCCGGCTACACAAAATGAACGAAGTCAGTGAAGCATAATAAAGTGGCCATACTTACCATCAGCATTGACCTTGTCTAACTCTTTAGATAGAGCTGCGAGAGCGGCAACTGTACCACGTTCTTCAGCTGAAGCTTTGAGCATATGCTCTGCCACTTCACATGGCAGAGACTCCTTGGGCATTCGCAATAACGCATAAGTCTGGTATACCAACTGTAAGTCAATCAAATAAAGCTGCGAGAAACATACCAAGCGACTCGATTCACATGTTCGGTGGAATTCTGAGAAGAACGTTGTCTCGAGTTCTCCGTTTGCATGGTTGTTCGTCTTGAAGGACTTGAGAACTTTATTGAGGCGCTCAAAGAGAAATGTCCAGAAGTCATGGAGTGGTCCAAAGTTGCGCACAAAACTTGCGATGTGTGTAGCGTAGTGGTGATTCGGTTTGATAACGTTTGAGCCATAGAGCTAAATATTGAGCGCAAATTAGTGGGCATGCCATAAGTGAGACAGATAAACAAGACATCCCTTGAGTAATTCAGTCACATATTGCCGGATAAGAGTATCTGCAGAGTCGATATCTGCATCAGACAAAGTATGTCTCATCAAGATACGGAGGGTGGCGGATAGCTTCAGGAAATTGGCAGGGTCATCTGGGTGCAGACCGAACTTGAGCTCTTCTTCACCCTTGTCACCTGCATCAGTCATCGGGGGAACTTCGCTGGGAGGAACATTGTCAGCTGTACTGGTGAAAGTGGGGAGCGGTTCTGATTGAGGGTTCAAGTTTGAGGGAGGTGCCTCTGTTGCCTGTAGAATAAATAAGTAAAGGAAATAAACACTGCAAATACATACCTTCTTGCGATGTCTTGCTGCCTTTTTCTCTGCGGAGATACGAGCCTTCTCAGCCTTCTTCTCAGCAGCAAGTCGAACCTTGTCTGCTTGCTTCGTGGCGGCAGCTTTAAGTCTCGCATCATTCTTTGCAGCAGCCTCCAATTCCTTCTCCTTGGCAATCCGAGCCTTCTCAAGTGCATGAGCTTCTTTACCTTGCTTTTTAGCTTCCTCAAGCGCCCTTCGATCTGCCATTTTCTTCTCGGCTTGACGAGTCTTCTCTGTTTCAAGTCGTTCAATCTGTGCAACACGATCTTGCAAAATTTGGTCGCTCTCAGTGCTTGGGAGACAAGCGCTCCATAATTGAGGTATCTGAGACGATCGAGCATCAGTACTTGTCTTTACATAGAGTGAGATAAACCCACAACTATGGGGCCGTAGACAGTCGAAAGCAAAAGCCACTGATCCGCTGTCAGTGATCCTCCGGAGGGCATCCCTATGTCATTAGGAAGCTTGCCGCAAGAGCTCGGCAGAGTGAACTACGCAAGCTATAAGGTGTATGAAACAAGAAAATATGAACTTACATTAGCAAGCATTTCATGAAAAGCAGTCAGTTCATGATTTGGATGAAGTACCTTCCCTTGCACCCAGATGTTGTAGAAATGAGTTTTGACAAGTCCTGTTGGGTTATAAGTGAGCGATGAATTGAGAAACCAAATGAAACGTACCAAGGAAGAGATTGTGCATGGGGTCAATCACGACCTGATTAACTAAATCAAAGTATGGGAGTCTCGCAAGCTGGGTGTAGCGTGTCGCAAAGTCTTTGACAAAGTTTTTGCGTGCGGTGGGTGTAGTTAGTTGTTGGTATCATTCTCCTAATTCCCGCTGTTCCATATTTGTACGTTCCTTGAATGCTGGGATACATAGTGAATGCAAGCTTTAGAACTAAAAGCTTTGAAACTCACCATCCTTAACAAATGCTGCCGCTCGTGTTTTATCTGCTTGTGTGATCCAACAGGCTGTGCATAGATTAGTATGTGAATGCGATCCAAAGCCACCAATCTTGTGAGCAGTGGGCTTATCGCAGACGACGGCAACAAGGGCAACTCGAACAAGCCGGCCTTGATAAGAGTATGAGCTGATCTTCCTGCGGATATGAAAATTACTTACCTTCTGGACACAATTCTGTTGGTACCTTGATGCCATGCTTCCACAGTTGTAATAAATCTGAGATAATTGGACGAAGGAAGCGTTGGATTTGATCTGGGTTCTGTTCCTTCGGACCTGGTAGGATGCTTGTGCACATCAAGTTCGAGGTGCGATATCTAAGCGACATGGGTCATTGTTTATTAAAACAAAATCAATATTTAGGTAGCACTACTCACCGGTACTCAGGGGGAAGGTTGCAGATAGAGAATGATGTGGGACATGACGAATGCGATGGCGCAATGTTACTGCGTATATATGAGAACCTAAAGAGTACTAGTGTGAGCGCATCATGTAAGTAGAAATGCGCCAGTACATGTTACCAATCAATCCCTAGATTAATGCCTAGGCGGAGCTCTTTGTCAGGACCTTGAAGTTCGTTTGGACTGTTTGAAAAGAAAAGCCTCCCATCAGGCGCTTTAAGGTTCAAGCAACACATATCCCCATCAAAGATATCCGTGTATCGACCAGGTGTTCGTGGTTTTGCTCGCCAGCCATCGAGTGTTGCTTCAACTCCCAGAATTGTCAAGATGGACTGAATTTGCACCGAAAGAGGGAGATATGGGTACTTAACGTAAGGTATTTTATTCGCTCGCAGAAAACCACGCTTGGTGGTATCGGGTAGGAACAGCGGAATATTGCAAGTCATGCAGCTGTCTTGATCGTGTGTGGAACCTGCAGGCGGATATACCTCTCGGCATGTTGGA